TGATGGGGTTATGGCAGTCCAGGCGGGATCCCAACACTCTTGTGTCTAAGAGCCGTGGACCAAGCCATAATGCCCTAACCTTGTGATTCAAACTGCTCCATGGCCTCCTTCACTGCTTCCTCTGGCCCCATCTCAAACTCCTCGATGTTCTCCTGCACAGCTGCATCAAAGGTCTCCTGGGTGATGCGCTTGGAGGTCATCTCTGTCTGCTGAGCAAAGTCAAGAGGAAAGCTTGTCAAGAGAGAGCAGGCAAAACACCACTTTGGGGGAGCACCTAACCTTGGGATCAACCCTGGAAAAATTCTTATCACTAGATCATGGGTAAAGGGAACATCGCAATTTCCAAAGAGCTTTGAAAAACGCAAAAGAGAGCAGGGCACAGTGGCCCACATATGTCATCCTAGCTACTAAGGAGGCTGAGGCAGGAGGATTGCAACTTCAAGGCCAGCCTCAGAAACTAGTGAAGCCCTATCTTATAATAAAATTTTTAAAAAGGCTGTGGATATAGCTCAGAAGTAGAGAGCCCCTGAGTTAAAGCCTTAATGCCATTCAAAAAATAAATATATATATGAACATACACACACACACACACACACAGACACATATACACATATATGTATAAAATGTCATTCTAATACTAAATACATAATAATCATACTTTATTATACTTACACACATAATCTTATATATAATTATGCAATAAGATACCATTATATTACAGTGTACCATTATATTACAGGTTGACTATCCCTTATCTGAAATACTTGGGACCTAAGTAGTACATAATTTGGGGGATTTTAGAATGTTTGCATATAAATTATGAGCTATCTTGGGGATGAGACCCAAATCCAAACAGAAAATTCTTTATACATCATATATACCTTACACACATAGTCACAGCCTGCAGGTAATTTTATACAATATTTTTAGTGTGTCCGTTTTGACTGCAACCCATTATATGAGATCAGGTGTGGAATTTTCCAATGTGGCCATGACAGAGCTGAAAGTTTAAAAATTTGGAGAATTTCAGAACGCAGATTAGGGATGCTCAACCTGTTATATAAAATTTAAAAATAACAATGAATAATAATAACTAATAAAAAGGAGGGCTAAAGAAGAAACTAATAAAAATAGTTACCTGGTAGGGAAGGGAAAGGAACAGAAGCTGGATTATTCACTCTGAGTGTATCTTCTGGAATGGGATGAATTTGGAAGCCATATAAATCCTTTATATGACTAGAAAATGAAATAAACCAAAATAAAAATAAAAGCAATCCCTAAAAACCAAGAATGAAATTATGCCAACTAATCTGGGCTGGGAATGAGGCTTAGTGGTAGAGTTCTTGCCAAGAATATGCAAGGACTGGGTTCCAGGCCCAGCACTGCAAAAAACAACAAAATCTCAATGAGCCAGATATGGTAGCAGGTATACCTGGCACCCCAACTCTCAGGATCCTGCTAAAGCAGAGGATCTAGCCAGCCTGGGCAACTTAGTGAGACCCTGTTTCAAAATAAAATAAAAAGAACTGTAGTTGAAGCTTGGTGGTAGAGTTCTTGCCTAGCATACTAGACTCTGGGTTCCATTCCCAGTACTGCAAACAAAGGAAAAAAGATTGTAAGATCATAGGCTGAAATAAGTAAAACCTCATAACTCCATCTAATTAACAATACTGTATATTGCATACTTGAAATTTGCTAGGAGTCGAGGGTTTTATGTTGTTGTTTGCTTTTGTTTTTCCTCTGGCAGTACTACAGATGGAACCCAGTGCTTCACACAGGGCAGATCTTAAGAGTTCTGACCCCATCATACACAAAAGATCTTTTTTTAAAACTTCTTTTTATTTAAAATTTTTTTTTCTATTGTAGATGGACACAATACCTTTATTTTTTATTTATTTTGTATGTGGTGCTGAGGCTGGAACCCAATGCCTCACATATGCTAGGCAAGCACTCTACCACTGAGCCACAACCCCAGCCCCCACAAAAGATCTTTATGTTAATTAGCATGACTGTGATGAATATTTCACAATGTATACATATGTAATTCTGACGATGTACAACAAATATACACAATATACTTATATATAACACAATGTATATCTCTATATTGAACCTCTATAAAGTTGGGGGAGGATCTCAGATCTCTTCCCCTTGTTTTGTATGTGGTACTGGGTATTAAACCCAGGAATGGCACATGTGAGGCAAGCCCTCTACCACTGAGCTATATATCCAGCACTCTTCTAAATTTTAGTTTGAAATAGAGTTTGGTTCTATTGCTCAGGTTGGCCTGGAACTTGCAATACTCTTGCCTTTAGCTTCTTGAGTACCTGGGATGACAGGTGTGCACTACTGTGCTTGAACTGAAATTTTCTTTTTTTTTTTTAATACTTATTTATTAGTTTTCGGCGGACACAACATCTTTGTTTGTATGTGGTGCTGAGGATCGAACCCGGGCCGCACGCATGCCAGGGGAGCGCGATACGGCTTGAGCCACATCCCAGCCCCTGAACTGAAATTTTCAATATGAACTCTTGATATATTTTCTTTTAAGCAAACAAACCTCTAATGTTCTAATGATAAGAACAGAAAATGCCTAAAGGAAATGATATCATAGTAGCATTGAGCATCCTTAACACCAACTATGGTCTTTAAATACCATTTCCCATAGAATAGAATCCAGGGCCCCTGGAAGAATGGCTAATTCCATGTTTTGGCAGGACATAGATCTTAGGAGCTAGGGCATCTGGTAAGATCAGAAAGCAAGGAAGGAAGCAAATCCTAAGAGGCACCTATTAGCTAAAGATGAGACAAGCAAACTCTTAAAAAAAAAAAAAATCCAGGGTTGGTAGTGTTGCTCAATGGTACAGTACAGGCATGCACAAGGCCCCGGGTCAGATCCCCACAAAAATACACAAATAAAAGGATCTAGTGTTTATTCTGCCTGTCTTATACAAGGGGGTCCCAGGTTAAAAAGGAAGGATGAGGAAAAGTTCTGCTTCTGATCCCAGCTGATCAGCCAAGCCAGGACAAATCTAGAGAATGCTCCCTACAGGCTGGCAAAACCATCAGGTACAAAACCAGTGAGGATGGACCCTGACAAGGGCTGGACAGGAAGTGAGTCTATGGCTTGATCTCACTTCCTCAAAAGAAAAAACAATATCTGTTTCCTGGCAAAGAGCAAAATTCACCTGTGAAATCATTGGTCCCAAACTTCAATGTAACTATCTGTCCAATGGAACTTTGTGTAATGATGGAATATTCTATATTTGTGTGGTCCAGTAAGGTAGCCACCAACCACAGGTTTGGGAGTGGGTGGTGCTATGGAGCAGTTAGTAGTGTGGCTGAGAAACTGTATGTGTAATTCTATTCAATGTCAATTCATTTTAATAAAAATAGGGAGGGGCAGAGAGATAGCTCAGTAGTAGAGAATTTTCCTAGAGTGCCTGAGGCCCACACTAGCAATTCCCTTTGCAATGCTTGGTAGCAGGCACACTTGGCTTCCACAAAGACAATGATGTCTTCACAGGCACAACTGGGTCATTAACTCCTGCCATACCCTTTGTAATTAAGTAATTAAGGGAGGACAGGTCTCAGTTCCAGAATCTTAACAGAGTTTAATAACTTTCTTCATTTTAATTGTTTTAATTTATCTGCCTTGTTTATTATAATAATACTGTTTCCATTCTCAAACTGGTATCAAGTTTCCATTTAAAATAGATCTCTTTTTAAACCTACAGTAAAGTTGCAAGGAACACCTTATATCCTTCACCTAGCTTCATCAATCGTTAACCTGTGAGTGTGTGTGTGCATGTGCACACAGCTACTATCTGAATATGTTCCAAACATCAGGACCTCTTTCCTTCTAAAGACCAGTATGACCTCCCCAGTAAAGACCTCTTATGCAATTACAGCACATATGAATTTAACATGAGAAATCTAACATTGATAAAATACATGTGCACGCAAGCGATGGGGATGGAACCCTCATGAGTGGTCTATCTCCTTCCTGCCACACCCTCCCCCTCTACTCTCCACACAGAATCCAGAGAGGACCTTCAAAGCACACAAATATTACCTCATTCATTTGCTCAAAACCCTGCAATGGCTTCCCATGCCACTTAGAAACAACAACAACAACAAAAACCCAGTCTCCTTACGAGCAGTTTCTCTATGTATACTTTTCCAAACTGCATTTCCCTGCCTGATTTTCATCCTTCCAGCTACCCTAGGGACACACTTCAAAACCACTCCGGTTAAAACAGCCCCCCTCTCCTATCCCATTATTCTCTCTTATTATTTGCATAGCATTACCTACTCTAGAGCGACAAAGTTCATTTATTTATTTGCTTATACCTTCTAGTCTCCTTGCCCTATTGCCTAAGACGGAGCCCGACACGTTGCTGGCATTCAGTACGTAGGTGTTGAGTGAATTTTAAAAAAAAATGCAAAGAAAGGAAGGCAGATTCGGTCTCCTAGCGGCTTCAGTAAGATTCCTTCCTTCCCCAAAATCAAGTTCTGAGGGCTTTGCCGCAGTCACCAGCCCGACCCCACAGCATCCACTCCCTAGTCCGCGCGCAACAGGGTTCTTGGCCGCTGCTCACCGGGTCTTCGAAGCCACGTGGGGCAAGGGTGGGGCTCGCAGCTGTCACTGAAGGAACCAACTCTGGCCCGTTCCGGCCGCCGTACGAGCGCAGGCGCAGTGGCGCCGCCTCGCCTAGGCCGTCTTTAGCTTGGCAGATAGCTCCCGGAGTAACTAAGGATGGCCACGATTGCAGGTAAAGTAAAAAGGACCACCTGGTGCGTGTCGGCACAGCGTCTGTGGACTTGTCCGGAACGCTCAACGTAGTCGCCACCCCCACCAGGCTCTAAAAAAAGCGAACAGCGCGCCTGCGCAGAAAGGCTCGCCAGCGGCGGCCTGCGCCTGCGCTCAAGGACTCGACAGCACCCTGCGCCTGCGCGGCGCGGCGCTGCGGAGACCGTTGGCTCATTTGCATGTCCCCGCCTCGCGCGGCGGCGGGTGAGGAGCCTGAGGCGGCGGCGGGGGCGGCTCCGCGCGCAGTGGGCTCGGGGTGAGGCCCGGGCCCCGGCGTCGTCGGTGGGTGGGCCCCGGGGTGGGGGGGCTCGGACTTGGTCCGGGTAGCCCCGGACTACATGATGGCGCCGAGGGCTTGGCCCTCGGGCTTCGTCCGCGGCCCGGTCCTTAGGGGCGGTCGGTGGCCTCCGGGAACCGACTCCCCCTTTTCGTCGTCCTCGGAGGCTGGGCGGAGGCGGGCCGTGCTGGAAGGGGTTCACTGGGTCACTTGTTCATTCATTCCACCCGAGCCCAGAGCAGCACCGGCTCGCGGGGCGATAACGGCCACCAGTGCTGCGTTCGGCCCTTTACCTCTTTTAAACTGGTTCAGTCCCCATAGCAACCCCAATATTAGCTGCTCCTTCCATAGATGGGAAACCAAGGCGTAGAAAGGTTAGGACACTTGTTTTAAACCCAGGCCACCTGACCCGGAGACCTGGCCATTCGCTATTCAGAGAACAAGGGACACCGGGAAGGGAGTCAAAGGATGGGAAAATGGGGTGATGGTTGTGAAAAAACGACTGTAAGGCAGGTGTGCGTCTTGAAGTTGGAGGTGTCTCTAGGCCAGGACATCTTGATGATTAAGGACGTTGAACTCCTAAATGTTGCTTAATTTTTTTTCCTGCTCCTTCTAAAGGGCTTTGTTTCCACTAATGCTCTAAACAGCAGGTTCAAGTCTGGGCTGTCTGACCTTGGGTGGGTCACTTAGCCTAGGTCTGCCTTTTCCTCTTCTATGTAATGTCATTCATAAAAGGACCCACCTCGTCGGTAGGCTATTGCAAGAAGCAAAAGAGATCGTGCTGGTACCTAGTACACAGCAACCTCTGTCACTAGCTCATTGTCATTTGGTAGAGATTCTTCCACGCACTTCTCCAGAGGCTCTTCTCTCAGGTAGAGTAAGCTCTGGATGCCTCTTGTTGAAATGGGAAAATAGTGGTCACATCTTTCCTATATTTGTGAGGATTGTGTTCCTGTTCTTCTGACCACGTTATACTCTTTTGTGTGTTGTGCTATCCTCTAGCAACCCCAAGAAATAGGATTGCTCTGTGTGCCTCTTGTAACCCATTCCAAGGAAATGGGCTCAGACAAGGCTCTTCTTGCTCCTTTTCCTGACACACATGTGAGCCTCACCTGGAGAGAGATCCCCTTAAAAGACTCCAACCTGCCTTTTGAAGTACCATGGCAGGATTATGGATTACTACGTGATTTTTTTTTTTCCTTTTGATTTTTTGTTTTGAAACTGAGTATCCCTTAAGTTGCTGAGTTTGGCCTTGAACTTGTGATCCTCCTATCTCAACTTCTCAAATCACTGGGATTACAGGCATGGACCACTGTGCCCAGCACTGCCTGGTGACTAAGGATTGGGTAAAATAGAGCAGGCTCTGTGAGAGAGTTGTTATTCTTAATATGTCTTTTTCTTTCACTATAGGGCAAGGAAATATGGCAGCAAGGCGAATTGCACAAGAGACTTTTGATGCTGTATTACAAGAAAAAGCTAAACGATATCATGTGGACCCCACTGCTGAGACTGTAGGAGAAACTCTTCAGTTTAAAGCTCAAGGTAAAATTTTTTTTTTTTTTTTTTTTTTTTTTTTTTGAGAGGGAGTGTAGTATCTAGAGTCTGGGGCAGGATTTCAGTGTCTTAGAGAAGTACAGAATTGCTCTGGTCCTTGCTCTCCTTATTTAAGAGAAAATAATATTTTCACATTGCCCACTGGGCAGCCAAATCATTATGCAGAAGGTGGTGTTGGCATTAACTGGAGCTTCTTATTAGATACTATGTTTTGAAGAACATAATTTTGGTGCTGTGAATGGTATCCAGGGCCTTACTCATGCTAAGCAAATGCTTTCATTGATCTATGTCTCCAACTCCTAAAGAAGGATTTGGGGGAGGTGGGTACTGGGGTGCATAACCACTGAGCCACATTCCTAGCCCTTTTTATTTTTCATTTTGAGGCTGGGCCTTACTAAGTTGCTTAGGGCCTCATCCTCTGGAGCTGCTGATATTACAGGCTTGTATTGCCACGCCCAGCAAGGATTCTTGAATCAATCTAGTAGCATCCCCTGCCATTCCTGCTCAGGTTTAAGCTCTTACCAGTTCTTGCTTACATTATTGCAATGTCCTGCAGGGTCTGTCTGCTTCTCACTTCATTTCCTTCATATCAGCCCTTAAAATAGTTGCCCCTCAGATCTATTAGTGCCAACCTCCTTAGGCCACTGTCCTGCTTAGGCTCTTGGGGCTCCCCAAATGCAGTATTATATCTTCTTCAAGTGCAGGAATAGACACTTATCATCTGCAGAGGGGGTCTCTAGCTGCCAGGTGTTGGTTCTGCTTGAAAACATTTCCTTTGAATTCCTTTATCTCAGGTCTGCCTGGTTAATTCTCTCAAGACTGGGCTCACAGGTGCCTTCCCCTAGGAAGCCTAAGCAGGCCTTGAGGTTGATTTTGTTACCATCCCTACTCCAAGAAGTACATGCCCTGGGCCTATTTCCCCTGGGCTGCTCACAGTTATATCCTTAGGGTGAAGAAAAGGCCGCTCCTATTGTTTAAGTCTAAGTCTTTGGGATAGGAATAACAAATGTGCTTTGGACTTGGAGAATTGAAGCTCAGAGGTTTTCTCTAGGTTCTGAGATTTCAGAATTTACAGGGATGTTTGCTGGAGTACCAGCTCAGTGGTAGAGCACTTGCTTAGCACATGTGAGGCATTGGCTTTAATCTTCAGCACCATGTAAAAACAAATAAATAAAGGCACTGTGTCCATCTACAACTAAAAAAATATTTTAAATAAAAATTTGCAGGGACATGGTTGAGGATGTGGCTCAGTGGTAGAGTGTGTTCTTTTTTTTTTTTTTTTTATTTAAAGATGGACACAGTATCTTTATTTGTGTTATTTATTTTTTATGTGGTGCTGAGGATCAAACCCAGTACCTCACAAGTATGAGGCAAGCGCTCTACCTCTGAGCTATAACCCCAGCCCCTAGAGTGTGTTCTTAATATGTGTATGATCTTGGTTTCATCCCAGTACTGCCAAAACACAAAGTTATGTGAGATGTACACAAAACCTTTGCAGTTATAAAAGATTGGAACAGTTTAATAAAAAGAGGGATGAAAATCCTCCTAGCTACTTCCTTATCCCTCAGAAGTAACTATTTATGGTGTTTTATACATCCTTCAGTTATTTTAGTGAGATATTATAGTACTCAATACTTTATGTGTTTATATCTGGAGAATTAAATCTTGGTTCTTTATCTATAGACTCAAGCACCAGTACATCTTAGTTACCACAAGAAAGATTGGAGAAGGCTGGTTTTAGCTGAGTGACAGAATACTTGCCTAGCATGTGCAGGGAACTAAGTTTCATCTCCAGTATTTCACCACCCCCTCAAAAAAAAAAAAAAAAAAAAAAAAAACCAAGGGGGAAGGGGACTAGAAACAAAGCAAGATGATGGTTTTAGAACAAAGTTCATGATTCATTGGTCAGCCTTTCTCTCTCTCTCTCTTTTCTTTTTCTTTTTTTTTGGCAGTACTGGGGATTGAGCCCAGAGGCACTCTACCACTGAGCTATGTCCCAGCCCTTTTCCAGGGTCTCACTAAGTTGCTAGTGCTGGTCTCAAACTTTGGATCCTCCTGCCTCAGCCTCTTGGGTTGCTGGAATTATAGGCATACACCACGCATAGCTGGTCAGCCTTAGCTCTATGTCTCTGCTTTACTCTGAACTCTTCCCATTTCTTATAAAGCAGGACATGGAAAATGTGTAGCATCCAGCCACCACTCTCCCTCTAATTCTCCTTCCCTAATTGTGCTATCAATACCATAATCAATGCCTGGATTATTATAGTAGATTCTTTTTTGGAACATTCATGTCCCCTTTTGTCCACTATAATGTATTCCGTGAATAGCAGCCAGTGAGGTTATTCCTCTGCTCAGAACCCTTTGGTGGCTTTTGGTTTCACCCAGAATAAAAATTGAGCCCTATCTAGGGCCTGACTTCTGGATAATCCCTTCCCCCATTGTATCCTATCATAGTGGGTCCATAATTTTGTTGCACTTTAGAATAGTTTGGGAGCCTTTTCAAAATCCTGATGCTCAGGTCAGACTGTATTCTCATTAATTAAATAAGGATGTTTAGGGATGAAGGGCCCCTGCAGACTTCAATGTGCAGCACAGTTTGGGAGCCACCTTTCTATCACTTTGCTTCTGGTTTTCTCTGTTCCCTTTTGCCTGCATTGCCCCCCCCCCCCATTCCATTGCAGGGCTTTATCCTGTCCCCTCTATCTGGAAGCCTTCCTCCTCTTACTGTATTATCTAGCCCCTCATACAGGCTTCTGCTTCTATATACATTGCTGTCAAAGCTGCCCTCTTGGACCAGCCTGTCTAAAAATGATATTTCCTCTTTGCATTCTTGCTTCCTTGAGTTTCATTCTTGACATTTACTTTTACCTGCTATATTTTTGTTTGTTGTCTGGCTCCCTCAACTGGTAAGTGTGGTAGAAGCCTCCTTTCTCTATAGTAACTTTGGTGCTTAGTGCAGTGCCTACACATAATAGGTGCTCAATAAGTGCTTATTGAACTTGGATATAGACTTTTTGTGGCTTCTCAGCCCATCATTACCTCTTGGTGTACTCATACCTGTTTCTCCCTCCCTCCTTCTCTCTCTCTCTCTTCCCCTTTTCATTATTATATATATATTTAACTAGATTGTAGATTGGTTGAAAAATTCAAATATCAGAAAGATAATCCATGAAAAGGCCTAAAGCCGGATGCAGTGACACACACACTATAATCCCAACTACTTACAACACTGAGGCAGGTTCAGGGTCAGCCTGGGCAACTTACTGAGACCTTGTCTCAAAATAAAAAATAAAAAGGACTGGCACCCCTGGGTTCAGTCCTAGTACTGTTTAAAAGAAAGTGTGCCTGAGGCCCACCAATCCCATATACCCATTGTCCATAATTCATTTCTGTTTCTAGCTTCTCAGAGTTCTTTTATGTGTGAATAAGCAACTGTAAATATATGTTTCCACTTTTCTATGCTGTTCACTTTCCATCTTGATGTGGCTTCTTTTCTTCCTTCCTCTCTCCTTGCCTCAGTCTCTGGTTTTTCAGCTCCATAGAGAGGATTAGCCAGGCAGACCTTTGATTTCAACCAGCCTTGGATCAGGTGCTTGTCTTGGGCCTGGTCAACTGTGATGAGCATTGTGTCAGCTAAGGCTTCTACCTCATGGTGGCACTGTGGGCTTATATTTTCCCCTAGGAGGCAGCTAGAGTTGGCAGCCTCTGTAAAATCTGGCTGCTATGAGTTAAAAGTAGAAACACAGAAGTATTTGGTTGCATTAAAGAAGTCCAGGTTTGCCTTCTTTAATGTGTGATGGTGCATGCTTGTAATCCTAGCAGCTTGGTAGGCTGAGGCAGGAGGATCACAAGTTTGAGGCTAGCCTCAGCAATTTACTGAGGCCCTAACAAACTTAGTGAGACCCTGCCTTAAAAAAAAAAAAAAGGACTGGGGATGTAGGTCAGTGGTAAAGTACCTCTGGATTCAATCCCTAGTACCCACCCCCACCCCACCCCCCCAAAAAAGAAAAGTCCAGGGTAAGATGGGCATAGTGGTGTGTGCCTGTAATCCCAGCTACTCAGGTTGAGGCAGGAGGTTTACTTGAGCTCAGGAGTTCAAGGCTAGCCTAGGCAATATAGCAAGACTCTGTCTATTTTTTCTTTTCTTTTTTTCTTTTGCCATAATGGGATTGAACCCAAGGATACTTGACCACTGAGCTACATTACCAACCTCTTTCAGTTTTTTATTTTATTTTATTTATTTATTTATTTGCAGGGCTGGGGATTGAACCCAGAGCCTATATGTGCTAGACAGGTACTCTACCGCTGAGACATATCCCTAGCCCCTTTTTTTTATTTTGAGACAGTCTTGCTAAGTCACCAAGACTGGCCTAAAACTCAATCCCCTTGCCTCAGCCTTCCAAATTACTAGGATTAACAGACACATGCCACTGTGCCCATAAGATCCTGTCCTTAAAAGAAGCAGATACCGGCTAGGTTGGTGGCACACATCTGTAATCCCAGCAACTCAGGAAGCCAAGACAGGATCACAGGTTCAAGGCTAGTCTCAGTGACTTAATAAGACCCTATCTCAAAAAATGAAAGGGCTAGGGATGTAGCTCAGTAGTAAAGTACCCCTGTATTCAATCCTCAGGACCACTTTTTCCCCTCCCCCAAAAAAGTAAGGGCTGGGAATTTTAAATCATCTCTTGATGATTTATGATACCTAATACAATGTAAATGCTGTGGAAATAGTTGCTACACTGTATTGTATAGGGAAGGTGTCAAGGAAAAGGTCTGTACATATTTAGTACAAATGCAGTTTTTCTGGATATTTTCAATCTGAGGTTAGCTAAATCCACAGGTGCAGAACCGCAAGTATAGAGGACAAACTGCTATCAACCCAGACTTTTGTGTGGGAGTAGTGGGGGAGTACTGGGCATTAATCCCAGGCTCTTGTGCATACTAGGCAAATGCTGTACCACTAAGCTACATTTTGTTTGTTTGTTTAAAGTTGATATTTTTTTTAAGTATATATACCTTTATTTATTTTTATGTGGTGCTGAGGATAGAACCCAGTGCTTCACATGTGCTAGGCAAGTGCTCTACCACTGCCTCACATATGCTAGGCAACTGCTTTACCACTGAGCTACATTTTAAACTTTGACAACACGTCTAAATTTGCAAAAAAATACTCAGGTATAAACACTTCTTGGCTGGTGGTCCATGGGCTTCTGTTTGTAGTCTCTGGTCTAAAGTGCTTTTTTGTTTGTTTCTTTTTTTTTTGGATTATTTATTTCAGATCTCTTAAGGACAGTCCCAAGATCCAGAGCGGATATGTATGATGATGTTCACAGTGACAGCAGATACTCCCTCAGTGGATCTGTAGCTCACTCTCGAGATGCTGGGAGAGAAGGCCTGAGAAGTGATGTGTTTCCAGGACCCTCCTTCAGATCAAGCAACCCTTCCATTGGTGATGACAACTACTTTCGGAAAGAATGTGGTCGGGATCTAGAATTTGCCCATGTTGACACCCGGGACCAGGTCTTTGGCCACCGGAAATTGGGGCATTTCCATTCTCAAGACTGGAAATTTGCACTCCGTGGCTCTTGGGAGCAAGACTTTGGCCGCCCAGTTTCCCAAGAATCCTCCTGGTCACAAGAGTATAGTTTTGGTCCTTCTGCTGTGTTGGGGGACTTGGCCTCCTCCAGGCTGATCGAGAAAGAGTGTTTGGAAAAAGAGAGTCAAGATTATGATGTGGACCATCCAGGGGAGGCTGACTCTGTTTCCAGAAGCACTGGTCAAGTTCAGGCCAGAAGCCGAGCTCTAAACATCATTGATCAGGAAGGCACCCTTCTAGGAAAGGGGGACACTCAGGGCCTGCTTACAGCAAAGGGTGGTGTTGGGAAACTTGTCACACTGAGAGGTGTGACCACAAAAAAAGTACCCGTTATAAATCGTATTACTTCCAAAACTCAGGGCACTAACCAAATCCAGAAAGCCACCCCAAGTCCTGATGTGACCCTGGGGACAAACCTAAGGACAGAAGACATCCAGTTCCCCACTCAGAAGATCCCTTTGGGGCTTGATCTAAAGAACATTCGGTTCCCTAGAAGAAAGATGAGCTTTGACGTTATAGATAAGTCTGATGTGTTTTCAAGATTTGGGATAGAAATAATTAAATGGGCAGGATTCCATACTATAAAAGATGATGTTAAATTTTCCCAACTTTTCCAGACTCTCTTTGAACTTGAAACTGAAACCTGTGCTAAAATGCTTGCCTCATTCAAATGCTCCTTAAAACCAGAGCACAGAGATTTTTGCTTTTTTACTATCAAATTTTTAAAGCACTCTGCTTTGAAAACACCCAGAGTTGATAATGAATTTTTAAACATGCTTTTAGACAAAGGTGCTGTGAAGACCAAAAATTGCTTTTTTGAAATCATAAAGCCCTTTGACAAATACATAATGAGGCTTCAAGACCGACTTCTGAAGAGTGTTACACCCTTGCTCATGGCCTGCAATGCCTATGAGCTCAGTGTCAAGATGAAGACCCTAACTAACCCTCTGGACTTGGCTATTGCCCTAGAGACCACCAATTCTCTCTGCCGGAAATCTTTAGCCCTTTTGGGACAGACATTCTCATTGGCTTCTTCTTTCCGGCAAGAGAAAATCTTAGAAGCTGTTGGCCTCCAAGATATAGCTCCCTCTCCTGCTTCCTTTCCAAACTTCGAGGACTCCACTTTGTTTGGGAGAGAGTATATAGACCATCTGAAAGCATGGCTGATCACCAGTGGGTGTCCCTTACAGGTCAAGAAGACTGAAGCAGAGCCAGCACGAGATGAGGAGAAAATGATTGCTCCTATGAAACCAGAAATTCAGGCCAGGGCTCCAAGTGGTCTGAATGATGGTGAGGAAAGCAGTGGAAGTTTCTATGTGTTGTGGCTTATTTTCCTGATTTTTGATAATGTCTCGTATTCTCTTTGAGATTTTTACACAGCAGTTCTTTAGTTAACTAAAACCAGTCAGGATTTTAGTAGAAAATCACACTGGCCAATACACATGTCTGCCATTCTGTGAATGTGTGTTAAGAATCTTCTACCACATAAGCCCTTAAAAATTTTGGGATCATAGATCTCTTTGACATTCTCATGGAAAGCTGTGGCCCTTGCCAGGACAAAAGGACATGTATATTTACATAAATTTTACCTATACTTTTTCATCAGAGATCAAAATTAAGATCCCCTGTTCAACATGCCCACCTTCCCCCAGGTATTACAAACAAAAAACCGCTAGATGCCATCTCTAAGGAGTCCCTGGCTTCAGAGGTAAGGAGATCTCAAAATACAGTCACTCCTGTGCTAGGTTGAAAGGGTCACAGTAGAGGCCCCAGCCCAGCCTGGGGAATCGGGGAGGCTGTGGTTGAGTTGTGTTGAAGGATGCACAAGGACCAGTTAGGGTATTTCAGTTGGTGGCAGCACCTTTCCTCCACCCAACTTCCTTTTCTAGATTTGTGTGTGTGTGTGTGGTGTTGGCAGTTGAACCCAGGGCCTTGTGCATGTGAGGCAAGCACTCTACCAACTGAACTGTATCCCCAGCCCTCTTTTCTAAATTTGCCAAAGGTACTTAAGTTTTCTTAATTACACTTGATAACCAGTAGTTAATGTAGTGACCAAGAAATAGGAATAGAAATGACTATTTGCTTTCTATCTTCCCTCTTCTTACTCCCAGAATGGATGCTCTCACTGCTCAGAGGTCATAAGCATGTATCCATGTTCTCTTGGCTACTGTGACCAGTGAGAAAGCACTTTGACCCTGACATGGTTTTCAGTTTTCATTGTCCTCAGCCCAGTGGGGACTTTCATTTGTACCTGATTTTTTTTCCAGTTCCATACCACCCTCATGAAGCCCTGATTGCATGAGGCAGTGGATAAGTCCTACCATGTGTGGGTAGTCACAGCTACTCCTAGAGAGGGAACCTGAGGTAGTGGGTTCAGGACTGAAGCATTACCCTCTCTCAACCCTAAAATGCTGAATGGAAAGTCAGTGTAATAGGGTTACTAAAGAATATAGCAGAAAGGAAGGGTCATCTATAACCTAACTAAAAGTGGCTCACCACCCACTTGTGGTAATTTTGCAGCTGCACACATGCTGGAGGTAAATGTTACCATCTGCTCTTTTATACGATTGTTTCTGCAGCGTTTGCTACATCATGCTGACCTGATGAAAATTATTGCACCTTTGGCTTGATGTCAAACTCATGGAGCCTTTTACTAGAGGTTTCTGAAGCCAAACAGTGGTGGGGTCACATGTAATTGGCATCCACCAGCCTTGGCTCTCTGCATGCACATCTGGATAGCCAATGAGAGGGACCATATCACAGGAATTGCTGAATAGCATCAGACAGTGTCACTGCCCAACGTTGCACCTGTTCTTGTTGGAAATGCTGAGATGACATCTTTCATTGAATGTGTTGATTATTAATTATTTTTATTTTAATCCTTCCTTCAAAGTATATGTTCTCAGTGGTAGGGTTGCTGGGCCAAAGCTGTGGCCCTGTTCTGGCCATTTCATGGTCAGCCTAGCTAGAAATGACCAAATTTGCAGCAATCCACAGATTTCATTTGCCTATAAAAGCTTTTGGTTTGTACTTCATATTCTTTTGTAAAATAAGCAGTTTTAAAACGAGAGCCAACAAAGAAGAAAATGCAGTTTCATAAGGGAAGTATTTTGCAATAACATGACAGTTGAAGGATTTATCCTGTGCGAGGAGCACACAGTAATGTTTAAAATAAGCCCAGCAATATATCTAAAAAGAACAAATAAAAAAATATGTAGACTCACTTGGGCCCTGGAGTTCAGGGCCACTTAGGAAACAGCAAGTTCCCATTTCAAAAAAAAAAAAAAAAAAAATATATATATATATATATATAAGCCCAAAGAGGCTGGGAGTACCACTCTGTGGTGGAACACTTACCTAGCATGTAGAAGGGTCTGGGTTTGATCCCCAGTGCCACAACCAAATTCAAAGCTCCAACGCAAAGACAGCATTGTGCAGTCATTTACAGAACAAACTGGGAAACCACTCCAGTTCAAGGGTAACTTTAATTAAATGACTGAACAAATAGACCATTCTGTGCTATTAAAACTACAAATATCAGGAAGCTAAACAATCATTATTTGAAGAAGCAAGCTATTCTGCATTGCTGATAGCACTGTAAATTTACAGAGTCATATTGGAAGAAGCTTACACTTTAAAAAATGATTTACTTTTCATTTGGCATGCTCACACACACACACACACACACACAGGATTTTAGCCTAAGGATGGCTGCTTTACATCCCCATCCCCTTGTTTTTAATTTTGAGAGGGTCTTACTAAGTTGCCAAGGCTGACCTAAACTTGTGGTCCTCCCACCTCAGCCTCTTTAGTAGTTGGGATTACAGGTATGCGCCACCACACCCAGCCTAACAAATAGTTTTTGTGAACTAACTTGGGGCCATTGACTTGTTTTTTGGGGTTTTGTTGTTGTTTTGGTGCTGGAGATGGAACCCGGAGCCTTGTGCAAGCTAGGCAAATGCTCTACCATTGAGTTACCTGACTTTTTTTTTTTTTTTTTTAATTAGGGAATTTTTCTTTGTGAACTTATTTTTTTCCTCTTACAAAACACATATATGTGTTCCACTCTCACAGTACTGGGGATTGAACCCAGGGTCTTATACATGCTAGGCAAACAGTCTACCACTGAGCTATTCTCCCCATCACTTTTTAAAATTTATTTTGATACAGGATCTTCCTAAGTTGCCCAGGCTGGCCTTGTACTTGATTCACATTGCCTGCACTTTTTTTTTTTACTTGTAGTTGGACATAATACCTTATTTTAATCTATCATGTGCTAGGCAAGCATTCTGCTGAACCACAACCCCAGCCCCTGTGCCTGTACTTTTAAGAATATTTTATGTCTTTACAGCTCTACTTTAATATTATGGACATTCAAGTTAAGTGATACATAAACAATAGTAGGGAATTGCTATATATCCTTTCGTATTCTAGACTGTGTGCATAAATTGCTCCATACAGTTGTTAAGTCTGTGACATTTCATTTCTAGTAGTTATGCTGTTGTATCATTTGGGGAGGACTTCTTGTACATTGGTTTCTAGAATAAAATACCAATTTTATCTTTACAAAGCTGATGTCTTATGTATGAGGATTTCAGTTTCTGGTGCCTGCTTAGGTTTCAGACGAAGCCCTGTGACTCACACTGTCCTGGTCTTTCCAGGACACACATGGTCTAGTGTGTTTCTCAGAAAAGCCATTCTCTATGTTCCAGCAGTTCCCCAGCGAGCAGATCACAAGGTGGTGGACACCATTGACCAGCTTGTCACACGCATTGTGGAAGGCACCCTCTCTCCCAAAGACAGATCTGTTCTCAAGGAAGACCCTGCTTACTGGTAAGTCTTTAAACGTTGACCCTACAGACCCCTCCCACATTGTGTTCTGCTGGTGTTGAAAGAAGCAGCTGAGATGTCTGTTTTGAACAGCATTGTTGTTCAATGGAAAGAACACGGGGCTGGGTCAGATTCACATGGGTTTAGCAAGCCACAGCTCTGCTGAGACCAGCCATGGGGCCTTTTCTTGTCTATGAATGAAACCTAGAGTTCCTGTTTTAAGGGTACAGTGAGATATGTGTGTGTCAAGAGCACATAATGGGATAAATAATGTCATAGCATTTTGCAATTTATTTCTATTTATGACACTATCCTCTCCTTTTGCCTTACTGCTGCTCCTTAGGCTTAGAACAGTTTTTTAACATTATGAATGGATTATATGATAAATATAATACTTGCTCATTAGAGGAAGTACCAAAGAATAGAATGTAGAAGGAGCCCACCTCTGTGCTGACATCCATTGATGTAACCATGGGTTACATCTCAGTAAACACCCAATAAACATGTTGGAAGTTGAAAATATCACAGATGATTGGGTGCAGTGGTGCACACTCCAAACACCTAACCTCCCAAACATTACAGCCTAGTAACATAGGACACTATAGAGTGTCAGCTGTTCCCTTCATTATCCTGTGGCTGACTGGGAACTGGCTTACTGCTGTGCCCAGCATTATGAGTATTGCACAACATATCACTAGCCTGGGAAAAGATCCAAATTCAAAATTTGAAATCTGATTTCTTCTGAATGCTTATCACTTTTGCACCATTGTATATTTAAAGGCCAATTTAGTGAGACCCTGTCTCGAAATAAAAAGAATGATAGAGTGTCCTTGTGTTCAATCCCAGCCCACTCCCCACCCCACCCACTAGCCTGCAAAAAAAAAAAAGATAGGGGGTTTTGCTCAGTGGTCAGGTCAGATGAGTCCCTGGGTCTGATCTCCAGCACCACAAAAAAGAGAAAAAAATATACAGAGGCACCTTTTAGAAGTAATTTGAGAAACTGAAAATCACTGCCTTCAAGGTATGGAGCAGACATGGGAATAGGTCATGACAGTAACATTTTGCTTTTCATTATATGTTCAATTATTTTTCTGATAAACTAATACAAGTACCACTTGGAAGAATTCATGCACACACACCAGAAACATAAGCTTGACAATTTTTCATTTTTTATACCACTTTCCTTCCATGTATAATCTCCAGATAATTCTGCCTAAAGGAGTTTAAGGGTCATAACATTTCTAGGACCAGCTTTTGAATTTGTCCTTCATCAGAATCTAGTCTATCAACCAACCACTAAGACAGACCTTCTTCCTTTTTCTTTTTTTTTTTTAATTTTCTTCTTCCTTTTTTTCTTTCTTTTTATTTTTTTCTTTATTTGACAGGACTATGATTTAACCCAGGGGTGCTCTACCACCGAGTTACATCACCAGCTCTTTCTTTTTGAATAGGGTCTCAACAAGTTGCACAGGCTGGCCTTGAACCTGTGTTCCTCCTACCTCAGTTCCTGAGTAGCTAGGATTAGAGTCATGAACCACCATACCTAGCTATTTCTAAGGTCATAGATTTCACTTTCAGCACCCCTAAGAGGTTCTTTTAATGGCCAGTTCCTGTTTCATGGATATAATATATACCTTTATCCTCCTTAGAACTATTCATTACATATACATATTTTTAGACTAAATCTCCTGGTTTAGTCTAAAAATATGTATAGGCATGCTTAACCACTGAGCCACATCCCCAACCCTTTTTAAATATTTTATTTAGATACAGGGTCTCACTAAGTTGCTTAGGGCCTCTCTAAGTTGTTGAGGCTGGCTGTGAACTCACAATCCTCCTGCCTTAGCCTCCTGAGCTGTGGGGATTACAGGAATGCGCCATCCTGCCCGGCTCCTCTTTCTCATAGTAACTTTCTTCACCAGTGTTAGCTCTGTTTGTTGAGATTGGTGCCTCTCCTTCATGTTGAGTTTTGGTGCCTCTCCTTATGTTGGTTTTCCTTAACTATTAGATCCCTAGTTCAATATTTATTTCTGATTTTACACCCTACCCTGAATTAAGGATTGTAGCAGATCTGCCTCAAAAAATAGTTTATAAGTATTCAACCAGCTAGTGTTTATTGGTAATATGCATAGAATAATACAAAGTATACAGGGGCCTAAGTGTTTATTTAATTAAAAAAATATTTTCTGGGTACAGTGGCATGTGCTTATGTTCCAGCTACTCAGGAGTCTGAGGCAGAAGGATTGAACCTGGGGTGCTTTACCACTGAGCTACATCCTTGGTCCTTTTAATTTTTATTTTGAGACAGGATCTCACTAAACTGAGGCTAGCCTTGAATTTATGATCCTCCTGCCTCAACTTTTTGAGTCACTGGGATTATAGACATGTGCCACTATGCCTATAATTCTTAAATTTAAAAACAGTAACAAAAAAAAAATCAATTCATGATACTGGGACAATTAGGTTATTTGGGGATTTTTAACTTTTAAATTATATGCTTATCTCACTCAATACATGAGGTCATGCCCATCCTGTATTTCTGTTGCTCTTTCTTGACTTATTACAAATGGGATTTTGCTTGCTCTCCTCTCAGCATTTGTTTGCAGAATTCTTTTTGAGGAATTTCTTTCTTTTCATTTTTTTCTTTCTTTCTTTTTTTTTTTTTTTTTTTTGTTATTTTGAGATAGAGTCTTGCTAAGTGCCCCAGGTTGGTGTCAAACTTGTGATACTCCTGCCTCAGCCTCCCAACTAGCTGGGATTATAGGCATGTATCACCACAACCAGCTTGTTTGAGGAATTCTTAGCCTCTGATCAGAGAATTCCCTTGTTGTTAGGTCTCAAATCAATTACAGTCATCCTTCAATATCCACAAGGGACTGGTTCCAAGATCTCACATGCATACCAAAATCTGGGAAGATTGAGTCCCTCGTATACAATGGTGTATTTGCGTGGTATCTGTACACATCTTCCCATATACTTTAAATCATTTTTAAATGACTTTTAATGTCTAATGCAGTATAAATGCTGTGCACATAGTTGTCATATTCTGTTGTTTAGGTATTGACAAGAAAAAGTTTGTTCATGTATAGTAAGGACACGATTGCTTTTTCTTTGTTTGAATATTTTTGATCCACCATTGGTTGAAACCAAGGATGAAGGTTACTGGCTATGATTGGTTCTTTTTATTGGTTAGGGTATGAAAGGGTCAGATTCCAGGAAACAGGCTATCATTATCTCTGTCTCTGAGGGCCAGCAGAGATTTGACACATCCTTTCTAATGGGGAAGGGGCAAGCATGTTTTTTCTTGGTGGATCCTTGTGGACAGATCTGGCCACTGCATTCCTATGAGGTCTCAATCTGGTGCAATAAAGTGCAGATACTCAGTGCAGCTTTGCTTTTTCATTTGGAATATCAAGTAGCAAACTTCCCTCTCTTTTTTTTTTTTTTATATTTTTTTTCCTTTTGTGGTACTAGGGCTGGAACCCCAAGGCCTTGCATGTTAGGCAAGTACTGTACCACTGAGCCACATCCATAGCCCTTTTTATTTTGAGACAGGGTCTGGCTAAGTTTCCCAAGCTGCCCTTGAATCTGCAATACTCCTGCCTTAGATTCCTAAGTGGCTGGGGCTTACAGATATGCACCACTGTGGCCTGCTTGACTTTTTTTTTTGTGTGTGTGTGTGTGTGGTGCCAGGGATTGAACCTAGGGCCTTGTGCATTCAAGGCAGGCACTCTACCAACTGAGCTATATCTCCAGCCCTAAAATAGGCTTTGTGTTAGATGATTTAGCCCAACTTTACACTAGTAGAAGCTATGATGTTCAGTAGGTGGGGGAGGGTATTAAATGCATTTTCATCTTATGATATTTTCAACTTAATGGATTAATTGGGGTGTAACTCGCACGCAAGTATCTAGAAGCATCCTAAGAAAGAGAACTCACACAGGCCACATTGGGACAAAGTAGAAACTTTGAGACCAGCAACAACTGAAATAGGCATCTAAGTAACTTTTTTTTTTATACTGTGGATTGAATCTAAGAGCACTTTACTGAATGACATACTCAACCCTTTTCCTTCCTTCCTTCTTTCCTTATTTAATTTTTTTTTTTTTTTTTTGGTATTAGGGATTGAATCGGGGGCTTTAAACGGTGTATAGCTCATTTAGTAGAGCTATACTCCCAGCCCACCTTTTTTTTTTTTTTTTAATAGGATCATACTAGGTTGCTGAGGCTGGCCTCGAACTTGCAATCCTCCTGCCTTAGCCTCCTGAGTAGCTGGGATTATAGTTGTACACACCACATCCAGCTTTGAAGTAACTTTTGAGTGAGGAAGTATTCAGAACTGAAATGAGAGACAGTTTAGCAGGAAGCAACAGAGGAAGCATACTAAATGTAGCCACAGTGCTTAGCAGAAATTTACTTTAGGTGTGTTTATTAGAAATAAGGAGTAGACATAAAAAGCATTCAGCCAATGGAGCTAGAAGGAAAATGATTAAACAAACTGAGACACTAAAGAGGAAGGATTAACAGAGGTAAGATGCTAATGAATGAAAAACAGTATATAATGCTTTAAAAAATACATACATATAGCCAGGCAGCATGCTGGCTCACATCTATAATCTAGCTACTCAGGAGGCTGAGGCAGGAGGATTGAAAGTTTGAGACCTGCCTGGGCAATTTAGTGAGACCCTGTCTCAAAATAAAAACAAGAAGGGATAGGAATGTAGCTCACTGATAAAGAGTGCTTGCCTAGCATGCACAAGACCCTGGGTTCAATCCCCACTACTGCAAATGAAAGAAAAAAATTATACATGATACCTGAGGGTTCCACATTCACAAATGCAAGTAACTGCTGATCAGCTATATTCAGAAAAAAAAAAACACATGGTGTCTGTCTAGAACATATGCAGATTTTGTTTTCTTGTTATTCTTCCATACATAATACAGTTATAATAACCATTTGCACAGAATTTACTTTGCATTAGATGGATAGTCTAGGTCATCTAGATATGATTTAAAATCTACAGGAGGATTGTGTGTAGGTTCTATGCTAATTCTGTCATTTTATAGAAGGGGCTTGGACATCCAGAGGTGTCTGTAGAGGTTCAGGAGCCAATCCCCTGTGCATATTGAAGGACAAAGTATATCAAATGTGAAAATCCCTCTCAATACCCTCTTCTGTCCTCCAGAGCTCATTATTAAATTTGCTTTATATTCTTTCAAACTATATGACAAAAGCAAATTTACACGGGCATGGGTATGTGCACACAGCAGTTTCAGATGACATAGCTATTCTTTAGCTTGCCATTCTCATTGACATATTACAGGTATCTTTCTGTCAGTACACATAGCTAGGCCTTCTCTCTCTCCCCCTCCCCCCATCCCCACTTTTTTTTTCCAGTACTGTAGATGGAACTCAGGGCCTAACACATGCTAGGTCAGTACTCTACCCCTGAGCCACACCCCTGGCCCCAGCCTTCTGATTTCCATACTATTCTCAGCATTATGACCCTGCCATATGATTTCGTAGCTGGGGCACATGCTTCCTTGTTAGTTCTCTCATAGGTCTTGTCATACCTGCCTTACTGGTATAGTTGAAAGCTCACCAAGCACTCTGCCTGGCTAGACCACTGCTGCCACAGTGCTGGTAGTATAATGTGGTGTCAGCCCCACAGTTTCTGTGGCTCCAGGGTGACTGGTTTGTATTGCAAAGCCCTATAAGCTGTGAGAGTCTTCAGATGACAGAAATTAAGAAAAACTCAACCAGTGCTCGTCAAGACTCCTGACTGTTCAGTGATCACTCTGGGCAGGGGAGGGGCCCCAGGCCCTCTTCTGGGTCCTCAGTGAAGCCACAACGAGGTCCTCAGAAAGCAGAGGACAGCAGGGAGGCTGCCACTTAGAAAGGCTTTGCAGAAATGTGTGGTGTTTTCACAAATGTCTTGCTATGCCTGTCTTGTTGCATAGGTTTTTGTCTGATGAAAATAGTCTGGAATATAAGTATTATAAGCTGAAGTTAGCAGAGACCCAGCGGATGAGCCAGACCTTGCAAGGAACCGACCGGAAGCCAACATCTGCCGAGTGTGCAGTGCGGGCCATGCTGTATGCCCAGGCAGTACGGAACCTCAAAAAAAGACTGCTTCCCTGGCAGCGTCGGCGGATCCTTCGTGCTCAGGGACTCCGGGGCTGGAAGGCAAGGAGAGCAACCACTGGGACCCAGACCCTCCTGTCGTCAGGCACCAGGCTAAAACATCATGGTCGGCAGGCTGCAGGCTCCTCACAGGCAAAGTCATCCCTACCAGATGGAAACAATGCTACCAAGGACTGCCCACCAGACCCAGCCAGACACTCTCCTCAGGACCCCAGCCCAGAAGCTTCAGGCCCATCCCCTAGACCAGTAGAAATGGATGTCTCTGAAACCCCTCACACCTCCTCTCCCAGCCCATCTGCTGACGGTGGGTATTCATTCACTCCTGATCCCCTTCTGTAGACCCCAATCCCTACTCTCATCTTCAGGGGTCTTCCTAGAACTAGGGGCAATGTAGATTACTCAGTGGCCTGGACAGTGTGGGAAGCAATGGCTACAGGGATCTGGACAGGACAGGCACACATGGAGGCACTTTCTTCTCTGCTTCTCTAGAGGGCCCAGAGTGAGTCTGTCATCATCTTCTCTTCCTCTCCTGAGGGTGGAACTTTGGTGCTCCCCAGCAGGGTCCTGATACTGGGTCCTCTGTACCTGTGATTCCATCTCTTTCTTTTTTTTTTTTTGGTACCAGAGATTGAACTCAGGGGCACTCGACCACTGAGCCACATCCCCAGCCCTATTTAGAGACAGGATCTCACTGAGTTGCTGTGGCTGAATTGCTAAGGCTGGCTTTGAACCTTTGATCCTCCTGCCTCAGCCTCCTGAGCTGCTGGGATTACAGGCGTGTGCCACCATACCCAGCTTGTGATTTCATTTCTTCCTCTGTTTCTTTCTCTTCTTTTCTTTTCTTCTTCTTTTTTTTTTTTGTGTGTGTGTATGTAAGTGTGTAGTGCTGAGCATTGAACCCAGGACCTTGTGCATGTGAGGCAAGCACTCTACCAACTCTACCACAGCCCTCTGTGATTCCATTTCTTACTACTGTCGTCCCTCATTTCCTCTCGGGGAATTGGTTCCCGGGCCTCCTAAAGAAACCAAAATCCACTGTTGTTCAAGTCTCTTTTATAAAACAGTAGTATTTGCATAGAATCTGTGCACATCCTCTCACAGACTTTAAATCATCCCTGGATTACTTGTAGTACTTAATACAACATAAATGCTACATAAATACTTGTTACATTATTTATGGAACATGAAAAAGAAAAATCAGTAATTTCTTCACTACAGAAGCAATTTTTTTCTGAGTATTTTGGTTGATTTTTTTTTTTTTTTTAACTCCCATGGTACATTTATTTAGTTAATTAATTATTGCCAGGGATTGAGCCCAGAGGCACTTAGCCACGCAGCCACATCCCTAGCCCTTTTTGTATTTTGAGTCAGGGTCTAAGTGCTTAGCTAAGGTCTTGCTAAGTTGACAAGGTTGGCTTTGAACTTGATCCTGCTTCAGCCTCCCAAGCCATTGGGGTTGATAGGCATGCGTCACCATACCTGGCTCTTTTTATTTATTTATTTATTTATTTTTAATATATTTTTTAAGGTATTGATGGACCTTTATTTTTCCATGCAGATTGAAGATTAAACCCAGGGCCTCGCACATACTAGGCGAGCGCTCTACCACTGAACCACAACCCCAGCCCTTTTTTATTTTTTTTATATTGAGACAGGGTCTTGTTAAGTTGCCAGGGCTGGTCTTGAACTTGCAATCCTTCAGCCTCAAACTTCCAAGCATCTTGGATTACAGACATGTGCACCCATGTCCAACTTGAGTATTTTTAATCTGCATTTGGTTAAATCCTTAGAAGCAGAACCAGCAGGGGCCATCTGTATATCCTTGACTCCCTTGATATTCTGGACTGCCTTTGTCTCTCATTCTGCCTCTTCCTCACCAAGACCTCTGTAGTACTGTGCTGAGGGCTAGTTGACATCCCTGGCTTCTGAGTTGAGTAACAACCCCTTCTGTTTCTCTTAGTCCCCTTTAAGCCTTACTGTCTCTCTGTATAATGAGGCTTAATTGCAGGTAGTAATACTCTAATCTCTTATATTCTCTGCCTATCGCTTTGTCACAATAAAACTATACTGTGGCTGTACACATGAGGCTTCTATTATTCCTTAGTATCTGGTAAGCTGGGCTTGCATATGTGACTGTAGTCAGTATTAGGGTTGTCTGGGGCTGGGGACTGAAGTAACAGGGGTGTCTGGGCCACATACCCACAGCAGCCAGACCCAGGTATGCTCACCTGATTGACAGGGCAGGGCTCCAGGAGAGACAGTGGATGCTTGAGGCCTCCAAGGCCTAGATTGTAATTGGCAGGTGACACTTCTGCCATATCTTGTCAACCATTTCTAAAATGGGGGGTGGGGGGATCTCCTGTTCAACAGAGTTGCAGAGTCACTTGGCAAAGGGCAGAGTACAGGGAGGGACATAGGGCCATCTTTACAGTCAGTTTTCACTGCTCCACAATGTTTATGTAGGAAGTAGCAGCAGCTCAGAAGCCATGACAGGTCCCTTATGTTTTGTAGTTGACGTGAAGACCATGGAGACTGCAGAGAAACTGGCCAGATTTGTTGCTCAGGTGGGACCAGAGATTGAGCAATTCAGCATAGAAAACAGCACCGATAACCCTGACCTGTGGTATGTACCCCCAATCTCATTACCACCCAAGGATTGAACCTAGGGCTTTGCACAGGCTAGGCATGTGTTTACTACCACTGAACTACATCTATAGCCCGTTTTATTTTGAGACAGTGTCTCACTAAGTTGCCCAAGCTGGCTTCAAATTTGTGATCCTCCTGCCTCAGCCTCCTCAGTCACTGGGGATATAGGCATGTGCCTCTATACCTAGGCCTAAATTTTTTTCTAGAAAGCTGTCTGGTTGTTCCACACCATTCACTGAAAACACTACCTCTATTACAGTAATTTTAGAGGCCATATTCATCAGATCCCATGTTTCAGGGCTTTCTAATATATTCTGTTGGTCTGCCATATGGACTACTTGGCTCTTTCACCGTCACAAAGGCAGTTATGACATCTTATAGTATTTGATGAGGTACCCTTGTTGGTATTGTATTTTCCCAGATAGTCTAATGTATTTATTTATTTTTAATGAATATTAAAATCCTCTTGTCCTAATCCAGGGAAAATTGTTTTTATTGGGATGTTTATACATTAATTAGGGGAGAACTGGCATCTTTTTAGAGTTGAGTTATCCTATCCAGAAAAAAGGGTTGTCTTTCCTTTGATCCAGGTGGACTTTGTTCCTTTGGGGTGTTACATTTTCATATCAGCCACAGCCCCACAACTATGATTAAGGTCAGAGGTGACCACTAGACTGAGAAGCCTCATGGCCATGTCCATCTGCTGTGCTGCAGGACTCAGTGGAGGAGCTTTGCAATGATAAGCCCTCTCTGAGGCCTGCCTCACAGCTGTTTAGAGCTTGGGTCTCTGCAGTAGCGGTGTAGTGTTTCTTGGCACATTTCCACGTCTCATAGCTCAAGAGTGTGAGAAGAACCAGAGATCAGAATGCATATGTGGAGGCCGAGAGAGGCCAGTGAAGTAACCAGAAAGGATGAGGTGTTGTCCATGTCAGATCTCCTGGCTGCAGCATCAAAGCTGGTTCTATCATCCTCCTTAGTTGTCTACAAATTCCTTGTTCCTTCACCTCCTTCCCCTGAAAAGCAGTTAGGCCTCTTAGGTTTTTGGTTCCTTTGCTAAGTTACTAGTTCTTATCACTTTATCTCATTGAGAAGCTGCACCATCAAACCACAGCTGTGACAGAAGAGGCCTGGTAGTTCATTCTGTTTTCTCACCCCCAGCTTCATTGTATTCATCCCAGAATGTTTTAGCAAATAAAAATGTTTAAAGGTATCCTCTGGTTAATAGTGTATTTCATCTGTGTCCCAGGTTCCTACATGACCAAAATAGTTCTGCTTTCAAATTCTACCGGAAGAAAGTGTTTGAACTGTGCCCATCTATTTGTTTTACATCATCACCCCTCAGCCTTCAGGCCAGCATGGGTGGCGAGAGTGCAGACTCTCAGGAGAGCCCCTTAGACCATGCGGAAAGGGAAGGAGAGTTAGAGGATGAGCACCCTCAGCAGGAGGCTGAGCTGGAGAGCCCAGAGGTGATGCCCGAGGAGGAAGAAGAAGAGGAGGAAGAGGATGAGGAGGATGAGGAGGATGAAGGGGGAGAGGAGGCCCTTGCTCACAGAGCCTCCAGGCCGGGAGTAAGAGCTGACAAGTCTGAGGGCTCTGAGGGAAGCCCCCCTGCTGATGGCCTCCCTGGCGAAGGTGCTGAGGATGACCCAGCCGGAACTCCTGGCTTGTCACAGGCCACCTCCAGCACCTGCTTTCCGCGGAAGAGGATCAGCAGCAAATCACTGAAAGTTGGCATGATTCCAGCTCCCAAGAGGGTGTGTCTCATACAGGAGCCACAAGGTGAGTGCCTCCCTATGACAGCACAGTTCTTGCTTTAGAGACCGTGAAAGGTTTTGGAGATATTGCCTGACCATTTCTGAAGAATCTACTGGCCCTCAGCCATAGCTCAGATGCATAATTGACCCATACTTACCACCTTTATGGTGACCTCAGTAGGACACCACCTCCCAAATATCCACCCTCAGAGGCCTGTGTGAGAGCCCCAAAGTGTCCAATATTGCATGGAGTTCTCTGATTTTGTGTTTTTTTATGTTTTGTTTTTTTCCAATGCTGGGAATCAAGCCCAGGGCCTCATGAATGCTGAGAGCACGCCCTGCTACTTAACTTTAACCCCAGCCCTTGTCTTGTGATTTTAATCTAAAATAATTTCATCTATTTTGAACACCGTTCCATAATGCCAATGCAAAACCTGTTTCCAAGTTGGTCTGAAGTTATTGTTTCTTCATTAGGCTATGGCTTCCAGCACTCCATGAACTGCTAGCTATCTCTGTTAATGCCCAGAGTCCATTGGGAGGAGCCCTGACTTTGGGCCTGGGTCCTCCAGCCTTGTGGACTCCCTTGGGGAGTAGCCTGCCTTCTGGTTCCCAGAAGTTCCGGGGTAGTGATATCTGCTCCCTGAAGTGACAGTGACGCGGGAGGGCAGAGGATACTGTTCACAGCTAGCTATCACAGCTACCTCTGTGTGAGACCATCACATTCACAGGCAGCAGTGCCCTTTGGGAGCAGTCCTGGTATTTGTTTGACATTGCAGTGGACTGCTAATTGTTCCACCATAACCCTTCCATCCTGTAGAACTTCTGTAGATGGCGACCCAGCATCAGAATGCTTGTCAAATATGTCTCACCTGGGGGAAGGTGGCATTCTTTGTTTTTCTTTTGGATGCTCTCTGTTCTTTGGGAGGTCAATGAAATAAAACTGGCTTGCTGATCTTCCGTTATCAAAAATAGTAATAGTGTGGGGCTGGGGATATGGCTCAAGCGGTAGCACGCTCGCCTGGCATGCGTGTGGCCAGGGTTCGATCCTCAGCACCACATACAAACAAAGATGTTGTGTCCACCAAAAAAACTAAAAAATAAATATTAAAAAAAAAATAGTGTGATTAATAGTCCATATGAAAAGCATGATTTTTATTAGAAAGTTTCAGATGGACTTTAAATCCTTACCAGTGGAATAGTTGCAGAGAAATTGAGAGGGCAGTTTTGCAAATAGTTCATTTGCTGAAGGAAAGCATTCCTGTGATGTTTAGGGGTGGGGCTCAGTGGTAGAGTACTTGCCTACCATGTAAGTACCATCCCCAGCACTGCCAAACAAAAATAAAAAAAATGTCCTGTGGTCATGGAAGATAATCTACATAGCAAGTCATTTGTTAGAAATGTGGGAGTTTTTATGTTTGAGTAGACTTTTTCAAAGTGATACACCTCTTAGTTGAACCTTTTGCTATGGGCCAAGTTGCTGACTCTGGACACATCCAGCCTCTACCCTTGCTATATGGGTCATGGCCATTGTTGAAAGGAGCCAGGATGCAGCAGCCACTATCAGGGCACCTTCTATTATCAGAGAAGCTGGGAGCCAAAACTCCATAACAAATTGTCTCCTTATAAGGAAATTGAGGAAAGTGTATGTATGTATGTATGTATGTATGTACATATATCTTTCTTTTGTCTTTCAGTCCATGAACCAGTTCGAATTGCCTATGATAGGCCTCGAGGTCGTCCCATGTCCAAAAAGAAGGTGAGCTTAACCATTAACAAGTCCTCACTCAGGCAAAACCAAGTACAGTGATAAACTGATAGTCCCAGCTACTCAGGAAGCTAAGAAAGGAGGATTCCTTGAATCCAAGAGTTTGATACCAACCTGAGCAATATAGTGAGACCCCATCTCAAAAAAGAAGTGAGGTAGGCACATGGGCACATGTCTATAATCCTGATGATTGAGGAGACTAAGGCAAGAGGATCCCAAGTTTAAGGACAGCCTCTGCATCTTAGCAAGACCCTGGTCCCCCGCCAAAAAAAAAAAGGCAGGGGAAGTAGCTCAGTGGTAATGCTCCCCTGGGTTCAATCCCAAGTAGCGAAGAGAAAAAAAGTAACCAATAGCCGTATTTCACACTGAGATGTTACTAGACAAAATACATCAGAGACTTCTCAGGGGACTTTTTAAACCACCCAAAGTATAGGAGGCTGGTTCTTAGTTTGACAAATGAGACCTGATGGGTGCAGTAAGACTTGAGAGATGAGTAAGATAATGGCCATTGAGAAGTTAAAGCTTCATAGAATGTGGCTGTGATGAAGAGTGTGTGTGTATCTTCTGGAGGAAAAAAAAAAAAGTGGGTGTGTGCTCAAAAACAGCTTCCACGCGACAGGTTCCTTCTAGCTATCAGAGGCTAGGCTGCAGCAGGGAGGTCAGCAGTGACAGACATGGGTGTGACTCAGTTGAGGTGGTGCTGTAGGTAGAGAAGCAGGTAGGAGGAGATGGGGAATAAAGAGGGATTGGGGGTGTGTCACTGAATCAGAGAAGCCAGGGAAAGTCTCCCTGGCAGGTGTCACTGGCCCAGACCTGGAGGAGGTGAGGAGGAGCCTTCAGAGATCTTAAGAATGCACAGTCTGGACAGAGACCCAGAACAGTCCCAGGCCAGCAATGTAGCAGGAGTGGAGTGACAGGGTGGGGGGACCCAGGTCACATAGGGTCACAAACAGATGTGACCCTATGGCTGGACCTGAGGTCCTGTGCCTGCCTCCTTTTGGTAGGATGTTGGGACCCCCGGTCCATCCTTTTCTGCTTTGGCTCATGCTCTTAGCATTACCCCAGGGATAGCCTAGAGGGCCTCTCCAGAACCCCACACTCCCACACTGTGGCCCTTCTCTGAGGGAGGCCCTTGGGACTTGAGCAGGGTTTTGGGTAGAGACATGCAACTCTGTGGAGAGCAGCCTATGGCATGGGATCCAGGCAGAGCAGAGGCCCCAGGAGGAGGCTCAGACTTAGGACAGTGGGACCAGGTATGAGGTGAGGGAGTGATGAAAAGGTGACAGTGGAGCTGGCAGGACTCTCTAGTGTCTAAATATCGAAGAGCAAAACCTAGGCGTCTAGGTAACCCCAGGGAAATTGGCCTGGGCAGTAAGGAGAATAAAGCTTCCATTTGCTGATGCTCTGGGGCAGAGCATGGGAAAGGGATATGTTCTCCAGATGGAGAGGAGACACATTGCATTGTGTGTGGGTTAGGCAGGTCACCTGGGACGCATGTGGAGCAACTTTGCAGGTTTTTAGCCATCAGGGAGGCAGCGCTTTAAGCAGAGCTGAGTGGGTACCTGAAGCCTGTTTGTGTTACCTGGGTTAAGGGTACCAACCCAGTGTAGGCACAGCCAGGCCTTGGACGCAGGCATAGCTGGATTCAAGCTCAGTCTCACCACCTATTCTTTGGTAACCTTAGCATGTAACTCCTGAGCCTCAGGCTTACATCTGTAAAATGGGATGGCTACACCTGCCCTGCAGGTAGGAGGTACCGAAAAGTTTAAACAGACCCTCTGCCTGCTGGGTGTCCTGCAATCACTGCTCTCTCCTGGGTCTCCCACTGGTGATAGCAGGTGGCCAATAACCACCCCTGCATCTCTTCTCTGTGGCACCTTAGTCCAGCCCCAGGGCGCAGCTTTCTTCCAGCTCTGCAGAAAACTGACCAATATGATTGTTAAACACAAATTGAATGTTCACAAAGATACATCCAGACTAAGCCCACCCTGTTCCTCCCACCAAACCCTCCACCCTCCAGCAGCTTTTCCTAAAGGGGTATAGGCAGGGCTGGATAGACCCCCATTTCTCATCCCAGCAGCTGTATTCTACCTCCTCCATTCTGCAGGTCACATCCTGGTGGTGAGGGACCTCCCCGTGCTGGCAGCTCCCACCTGGTGTCTTTGCCATACTGTTTGCCACCCTCTTCATGTCCCAGCTCATCTCTCCTGCCTCCCCTCCTTGACACCCTGCAGAGACTTCCTTGCAGTGTGGAAATGCAGCCTGCGTAGCATCACTTGAGCTCACACACATATGCCAACCCTGCTGCTTGATATCTTAGGGATATACCTTGGTGTCTTTGAACTCAGCTCCTCTCCAGGTTGTTTTGTCCCCTCTAGGGTGAGAGCACTACACACCGTGCTCCTTGCCTGGCTCTCCTCTCCCTCTTTCCCTGACCTGAGGTCCTGTGCCTGCCTTCCTTTGGTAGGATGTTGGGACCCCTGGTCCAGCCTTTTCTGCTTTGGCTCATGCTCTTAGCTTTACCCCAGGGATGGCCAGAGGGCCTCTCCAGAACCCCATAGTCCCAATATTGGGGAAGCTGATATTCCTGGGCACCTCCATGCACATGACTAGTGGTGACTTGGTCTTTGAATCGAGCCTCCTGAGGCCTGTGTTATAGGTGGATAAACTATTGAGGGCTGACCACCCGCTAGGCCCTAAGATCACAGGACTCAACCTGTCACCCAGGATCATCCAGCCCTCTCCTAGTTGCTCCCATACCTGTTCCAAAATCAGATCTTCTCTGCTATCCCCAGTATCAGTTGCCTCTGTCTTCCTCAAGATCATTGAGGATACTACTTAATGTAGCTTGCTACCTCCTCCTTTCTTCTATCTTTCCTTCTCTTCCCTCCTTCCTTCTCTCCCTCTCCAGAGCAGTCTCTCCAGTTAATTCAGTGAATATCTTTAAAGAGGGAGAAAGGGGAATAGCACACACAGGGTAATGTCCTAAGCTACCCATCTGGGTTACTTTAATAAGAGTGATTGGAAATTCCTTCTTCAGCCTCACTGGCTCCTCCTCCAGAGGGAGGGGCTCGTCTGGGGGCTTTTAACCTCCCCAGGTCTCTACCCTGTGGCCTGAGGGTACTCAACCTCCCCACCATCCATAATGCACTTCTTAGGCCCTGTTCTTCACAGTGCCAGCTCTTGGCAAGTTCTGTTTAATGCTAGACGTGGACCTTGGCACCCAAGTAGAAATAGCCCTGGGAAAGATAAAGACAGGGAAGGTGGGGTATCAAGTAAATGAAGCCAAGGGTGGCAGGTGGAAAGGGCAGAAGAGCTGATTTCCCCACTGCCTCTCTGGCCCCCTCCTGTGTCAAGGCCTATCCCTTGGTGCCCCTTGCTCTGGAGTGTGCTTTCTGATCCCTTAACCCCAGGACCTGACATCTGTTTCTGTGGTTTTCCTCAGTCTTAGCAGTGGCCAGGCCCCAGAGCCAGATGCCAGTTCTGTCTCACAAGGGCATGTCCCCTTAGGCCCCTACCCTTTAGAAGTCCCACCTGTTGTGGATGTTACAGGAAGCCAGGAGATGACTGGGGTTTGATCATCCTGGGAAGTGACAAGGGAATAGGGAGGACACTGGGAGTGTCAGGTGCAGCTCAGAATGGACTCTGGCTCCAGGCACTTTCCTGCAGTCCACATGCCCAGCTCTTTCTTTTTCCTCAGAAACCCAAAGACTTGGACTTCGCCCAGCAGAAGCTGACTGACAAGAATCTGGGCTTTCAGATGCTGCAAAAGATGGGCTGGAAGGAGGGCCATGGTCTGGGCTCCTGCGGGAAGGGCATCCGGGAGCCCGTCAGCATGTACGTGGCACAGACTTGCAGCCCCCACAGGTGGACAAGGTCAAGCCCTAAAGCCTTTGGCCTGCAGCCTGAGTCTTGGTTCCTCTCATGTTGAAAATGGCTTAAAGTTGGCAGCTGGGTTTTTGGTTTGGGGGTTTGTTTGGTTTTGGTTTTGATTACTTTGTTTTTTGTTTTGTTTTGTTTTGTTTTGAAACAAAAGGAGCCTTCAAATGAGAATTAACTATTTATATACATACCTTCACATGGCTCCTTCCTGTATCTGTGTAGACCATTCAGCTGCTTCTTGGCCCTAGTCATTTCAGCCCCGTTTATTATGGTCATAAAAGCTGAGTGGTGTTTTGGGGTACATATGCCTTAGAATCACACTCCCTTCCAAGGGAAACAGGTCCACCAGGATGGGAAAACGTAGACCCAGAGTTTATGAGACCCTCCTCATAACGTCCGGAGGGCATCTCATTTACTGCTGAGATAGCTTCTATGGGGTAAGGTGATTTACTGGGACCAGGGTTTCCGGGCACCTTGAGGTGGCTAGTGCTCTTGAGAATGAGTGAGTGCTCCTGGTTTTCCATTCTTTGTTATTTTGATTTTCCTTTTCTTTTGATGTCTTTGTATGTGTCCTGCATTTCTGTGTCCCACTACCACTCCAGCCCATATTCCAGGCTCTGCATCCCAAGCTCTGGGCTCAGGTGCACAACTAATCTTCCATTTTACTTCTTAGGGGAACTGCCTCAGAAGGGGAGGGCTTGGGTGCCGAAGGGCAGGAGCATAAAGAAGACACATTTGACGTGTTCCGTCAGAGAATGATGCAGATGTACAGACACAAACGGGCCAACAAATAGGTATGTGTGAGAGCCGGTGCATGAGGACTTCTGCCCACGCTCACATCCTAGTGTGTAACATTTCCCCCAGAAAGGCTGATGTTCCCCACTTCCTCAAAAGCGGACAATCATAAAATTCTGTGAAGATAATAAAAGGGTCTTTGGATGTGGATGTGTCCCACTTCTTCCCTTCCAGGTTTGCTGGAGCAACGAGCTTCACACTAGCTAAGGTGTGGCCAGCCTGTCTCATGGACTGTGCCTCATGGCCTGACCACCCTGGCAGTAGCTTCTGTGCTGGGCTCTGAGGACGTGCATGCAGGCTGTTCCTTGCCAGTTCACATGGGACCAGGCTGCCTCTGGCCTCTCTCTTGCTCTACTTTTCTCTCACAGATGACAGCCACCTGCCACATAATGCAGCCAGGACACGGACTGTTCCCTAGTCAGGAGTGGCCTTGCTATCCGGAAGTATAAGGACGAACGTGGAAGCCAAAACCACAGGGAGCAGCAGTTGGCCACATCCTTTTTTTGAGGGTCTTCAAATCCTTTCTCTTCCAAAGGGCCTTGGGCCTTTAAATCTCATACTCTTTCTTTAGTTACCCTTCACCCATGACTTCCCAACTCTCAGTTTTGAACAAAATCGTTCTCTTCCTGACTAGATCAGAACCACTGATGAGAAAGATAAACCTTGAAGCCGCAATTACTCTTAAACCATCATCCTGCCCTGGATCTGCCTGGAGCCCAAGTACGGTGTGGTGTGTACGTGAAAACCAACATCTGCAGTCTCTGGGGTGGAGGTTTCCAACGCCAGCCTGCCTTTCTCTTAAAGAAAAACAGAATGACCATTCTCAATACACTTTTTGCCTTTCCTCTCTCTTCCAAATGCTTTCCGCATCAAGTCCTCTCCAAGTCTGTCTTGGTTCCTCTCCAAAAGATGGCACTGCCCAAAAGTACTTTGGCCTGTTAAGTGCAGTGGACCCAGCTCCATGGTTAAATTGCTGGCACAGGGGTCATTGCTGTCCTGGAGCACCAAAGGCCATGCAGACACAAGTGCAGATTGTGCTTTCCTGCCCCCCAGAATTTTATCTAGGGATACAGATTGGTAATCTCCAGGTCTACACTCTGATACTAAAGCTGAATGGAGATCTCTGAACAGTTCAGATACTTGCTTTATTGAACATATTAATGGCATTTTATCTCTTTAAAAATCCTGAGACTTCACCAGTTTTTAGCAACAGTCTAATATAGCTATATTCAGTGGGGAGTAATCATTAAACAGATATGAAATTTCTCCCAAATGTATGTGTGACTAGAATCCACAAAGGAAACGGGATATACTTGGTATTTTTGGATTTGATTTTCCCCCCATGCTGAGAATGGAAACCAGGGCTTTGCACATGCTAGGCAAGTGTACTACCATCAAGCTACATCTCCCAACCTTATAATTTTTTATATTGAGACAGGGTCTCACTGAGTTGCCCAGGCTGGCCTTGAATTTGTGATCTTCCTGCCTCAGCCTCCCAAGTAGCTGAGATTACAGGTGTGCACCACTGCACCTAAGCCACTGGATTTTTTTTAAGTGCATATGGAGTCTTCCCTACAAAGGGCCAAGAGGCTATAAATTCTCCAAGACTTCATCTGTTACGTGTGCAGCAATGTAAAGAATTGTTGTCTTAGAACTTTTGTAAAGAACAGAAAGACTGCTCTCAGAAGATTGGCTCTGCAGCTGTTTGCTATTTCAAGAAGGTAATTGTGCAGAACTTTCCAGATTCCTCAACACTCTCCTACTTGTAACTCCATGTGGAATGCTCAGACTGGGGGCATCTCAACCCTTCTTCATAAAGCAGCAGTGTTGAATTTTGAAATGTGTGCTAAAATCTGGAAAATTTGGAATCCTGCTGACACCCAGTGATTGGGTTACCCAGCAACAATTAGGGTGTCAGCCACAGAGCCGAGTGAGATTCAGGACTGTGAGGAATCCTTGCTTTCTGAAAGCCACAGCCCTCCCAGGCTGTGCTCCTACCTCTGGGTTCTGTCTGGCCCTACTGTCCCCACTCCATGCTGCTTCTCTTCATGGCAGGTGCGGTCCCTGGGGCCTGCTTGCTTCTGGTCACTTCTGTTGCTTTGGCAACTGGCAGATCTTTATGGCTGAGGAGGTGCCAGCACTGAGGATGAGCCTCAGTCCAACCCCCCACTACCCCACAAAGGGGGGGGGGGGGGGGGGGGGGGGGAGGACAGATTTGGGGGACCCCAGGTATGGAGGTTCATCTTCTCTTTTCTATCCTCACCTTTCCAGCAACTTCCATGTTGACCATGGGTCAGGTGAACAGATGGAATTCAAAGCAGGCACTAGTCCATAGAGGCCTCTTGAGAAGTGCTCATTGTCCCTTAGCAGGGCACATTCCCCCACCCCCAGCATGGATATCTAGCTCTTTCTTTCCAGCTTAGCTTTGACTGTTGTGCACACTTTGTCCTAACCTGTTAATTTTAATTTATTAAAAAGCAAAATACAGAGGAATTGCTGGTATGTGAGCTCTGGTCCCGAGCTTCCTGCCACTCCTAGACACATCTCAGTTTGACCTGAGATTATTTCAGTGAGCCTTTGACTAATGTCAAAGTAACAACCATTTCTTGAACCTAAAAAGTCCCATAAATGCTGGGAGGATGCTTTTCCTATAGTTTCATATCAAGGCTGTGAATATGTCCCAGGGAACTTGGGGAATGTGGCTGTGTGTCCTGGTGCTGGGCCAGGGCTAATGCCACTGGACCTCTATTCCTTCCTCTCTCCTCTTCCTCCACCCAGGCTACCATTGCTCTCAGGTCAAGGCCATTCTACAGGGAGGGAGCATTATGTGCAAGCGGGATGTGCAAGTGTGTGACCTTGTCAAAGTCACTGTTTTTTCTGTCATTCTAGTTCCAGGGTCTCTTCCACGAGGACGACAGGCATCCGGAAAGTGCTAACCTGCCACTTTGGGTGCTTACCGTCTCTGACTTGTTTCCATCACTGGAAATCCCATAGACAATGTTAGTGATTTTGGTTCTTGGTAAAATCTAGAAGATGTTTGTGATGTTACCAAATGAAAGTTTTGTTTTTTAAGAACCTAAGAAGTTGTGAATGTTGTCAATCATTTAGCAGTTGCAATAAATGTAGAGGAAACCCAGTTTCCTGTGATCTCAATTGATGTGTTTTTAATCAGACCTATCAGAAGATGGTAACGCGGACATGCTACTGAAGGTATGCTGCTGCCCAGGACCTGCTCTCTGCTGGCCCCAGGACCCTTCCCTCGTGTCTCAGGCTTGCCCCAGTGAGGGGGTCCTTGCATCACCAGGGAAGCAGAGAGATGCCATAGAGCTAGTGGCCAAGCTCTGGGAAGGGGGATCCTGGTCTGTGTGGGGAGTTAATTGCAGAGAGCACAAGCCTTCTGTTGAGGGTGTCAAGGAGTGACAGCTCATGACTCATCAGCCTCACCTAATCCTGGCTTGGGGTTTCAGTTGCAAGAGGTACATTTGGGCCTTCCTTCTATTGAGGAGTGACTTCTAGGGCATGATCAAAGCTACCCACTGTTCCTGTGCCTCCTGATCTCTGTGATTCCTCCCCAACATCCCTTGACCCTTTAGATAAGGAACAAGGGCAGTAGACACAGCAGGAGAGTGAGCCTAGGACTTGCAGGGACCCCTACCTGACTTCAGTGTGATGGCAAGGGGCCAGGCTGAGGGTAGGAGGCAGGTAGTATGCATTTAGGTCCCTGCCAGCAGGTTAGAGACAGACAACAGGGCCATAGGGAGCTGGTGCAGGACACCAGCCCGGTATCATTGAGGACAAGCAAGACCCACAGTACGATGAGTGTGGTGAATGAGCAGGCCCTTTCCAGGCACCTCTACCCTATCTTGCCTTCAACTCAGACCACCCCATTCAATAGAGACTGAGGATGATGAGTCTCTACTGAGGCTGGAACCACAGTGTTGCCCAACTACCATTCTGCCAGCTGCACAACCCTATAGTATAGATGGGGAAACAGGCCCGGGAAGAGGAAGAGCTGGGTCCCAGGCTACACAGTTGGGGGCCCCTTGATCCTTCAAAACCGTCTTTAGAAGACAGAACCTGCCTCAGTCTCCCATCCAGGTGTGGGCTGGCACCTTGTCACAGCAGGGAGCAACTCTTTGAGAAGAACCACTTCCTACTCCTGAATGTCAAGTGTGGAGGAGCCCTTGTGCTTCCAGGTCACCACTGAAGGAGCTGCACCCCACCCTGCCCCTTGCCCCCTCTCTGCCTGTGGACCTTCGTCCAATCTTCAAGGCCCTTCTTCCATGACCCTCCAGAAAGGCCCAACTGCCCTTCTGGTTTCTCCAGTCCTATTCTTGGCCACCCTGAGCTGGAGCTGTCAACATCCCACTGCCATATGCAGGCTAAAGGCTTCTCTTCTGGGGCTTGAATCTTCTCTTCAGATCCCCCCAGCACTACATTCATGTTTGATGAAAGACAGTGAACAATATATTCCACAGTGTCTGAAGTCCCATCCTAATGGGTCCCAGTTTTGGACAGGCAAACTCAGGCCAAGTCCCAGATGAGGCACAATAAGTGAACTCTGGTAAGTCACTCCCCGCCCCCACTGGATTTGATTTCCTTCATCTATGACATTAGCTGATAAAGGATGATGTATGTGGGCCTAGAAGGAGAAATCCACAGGGTACTGTCAAAAGACAACATTTCAACAAATGGAATTAAATGATCTTACATTATTTGTGACTCTGGATTGACTAGTATCTCATTCAAAAATAGGAAGGGGCTGAGCATGGCGGCACACACCTGTAATCCCAGCAACCTGGAAGGCAGAAACAGGAGGATCACATGCTCAAAGCCAGCCTGAGTAATTTAGCAAGACTCTGTCTCAAAATAATAGAAAGGACCAGGGCTGTAGCTCAGTGGTAAAGCACCCCGGGTTCAATCTTCAGTACATATGTACATATGGGGAAGTAAAGGGTTGTAACTCTGGCACAGCATTTACCTAGCATGCTCAAGCCCTGGGCTCAATATCCAGCACTGGGGTGGGGGGGAAGTCCTTGAGAGAAAGATTCTCTGCCCCAGAGCTCCCTAAATGTTATTTTGTCCCACCTCATGGCCAGTTTGATGCAGCCCAAGGTCACTGTTGATTACCAAATTCAAAGTCCTTCTGCCTCTAACCAGCTTTGTCAAATCAAAGAACACAGCTCACTAGTCTCAGGGGATAGTAACACCATCAAAGCCACAGCCATGAAGTGAAATACCCTCAGCAAAAATTAAATCACTTCAGATAGGCGAGGTGGTGCACTCCTGTAATCCCAGTGACGTGGGAGACTGAGGCAGGAGGATTGCACTTTCAAGGCCAGCCTGAGCAACTTAATGAGACAGTTGTCTCAACAAAAAAAGGCTGAGATGTTAGTGCCTGCCTAGCATGTGTGAAGCCCAAATACCACAGAAAAAGAAAGCAGATTGTTTTGATTGATATGGAGTTAATTCAGGTTATTTTTCCTTCCAAGGGTTAAACCAAAGGAATCTTCTTTATCGACAGCTAAAACTGCCTGTGTGGGAATTTGGCTATTATCTCTCCTGATTTTTTGGAAGGTCAGATAAACACTTCCATTTATGGTGAAGTGGAACATTGGCATGAGGACTCCATTTTGATTTGGTTTGTTGGTACCTAGTTCAGTAATCAGTCATAATCAGTGTCCTCCTATAATTTCATTTATAGTATTGCAATTAAAAAATCACTTTTCAAAAAAAGTCACTTTTCTATAGTGTTTACACTGCTGTTTTAATATAATTTATTATGCTGTATAGAAACAGAAGTACATTGGGAGACTAGGGCAGGAAGATCACTTGAGCTCAGGAGTTTGAGCTCAGCCTGGGCAACATAGTAAGACAGGTGAAGGAGGGAGGGAGGGAGGGAGAGGGAAAGAGGGATGAAAGTTAAGTCAGTCAAATACACAAACACCGAATAACAAATTCTGGAAAATTCCACAATTACCTATTACAAAGCGGACTGGGTTGCAGGATGGAATTTTTTTAATTTATCTCATACATTTCTGCATGGTTTGAAATCTTTGCTGACATGACTTTAGTGTACAACAAAAAGTTGATTGAGTTCTATGCAAACCAGGATGAAAACCTCAGCCTTGGATTCATTTTGAAAATTAAAGATCACAAAACGTGGACTCCAGGCCAACCAACTGTGACCAATTTTCTGATGAGGGGTGGCTTTTCTCAACTCAAAACCTTCCCCATCCAGGACTGGGGTTGTGGCTCAGTGGTAGAGCACTTACCTAGCATGCGTGAGGCTCTGTGTTCGATCCTCAGCACCACATAAAAATAAAATAAAGGTATTTTGTCCACCTACAACTAAAAAAAAAAACAACTTTCCCATCCAGTGAAAGCCAGCCCATTTCCCAAAGCAGAAACTGAGACCTAGCACCATCTCAGGAAGTCTCATCTGGTTTTTGCAGAGCTGGGATGGAACCCAGAGCCTCATGCATGCTGGACAAAAGGGCTGTGCCACTCAGCCACATTCCTGGCCCCCTCATCTGGTGTTTGTTAGTTCTGGTACCGGGGATTGAACCCGGAGTCTCTCTGCCATTAAGCTACATCCCCACCTGCCCTTTATGTTTTAAGAGGGTCTCACTGTTAGAGAATGGCCCTGAACTTGCTATCCTCCTGCTTCAGCCTCTCAAATTGCTGAGATGACAGGCAGGTACCACTCACTGCACCTCATCTGGTTTTGAAGCTCCTCATACACACATATGCGCCACCGTGCAAGGTTCACTTCACCTCTTCATGTGTTCATGTTAGAGTAAGGATGCTCCTCCTTCCTGGGGATCAGATGAGATGCAGACACACAAGGGATTCATAGCAAAGCAATGCAGGCAGACAGTGAACACAGTTGGCCTTCAATTTACAGTGAGGTTATGGGCTGGGAGTGGGTGCAGCTCAACTATAGAGTGTTTGGCAAGCACGCATGAAGACTTGGGTTCCATCCCCGGTTTTGCAAAAAAAGAAAATCCAGTTGCAAAACATGGGGTGGTTTTGGGGGAAAAATGTATTAAATATGGGCAAACCCTTTGTATAAGGAATGTTTGGCTGTGTTTGAGCACAAAGAAGATGGGTCTGCTCCAAACTGTCCACATTATGGGGAAATGGGTGGTGTCCAGGAGGGGACTTTTCCTGGTCCACCCTCCTCCCCAGCCGTGTGCCTCAGCGGAACCAGAATGCAAGCCTATAAAGGAAAATCCATTGAAGAATGTTTAAAAAGGAAGTAAAAATGACGAAGCACGTGCTGGCAGCAATTGTTGCTCTTTGTTTTCAGAGGCAGCTGTGGTCTTAGGAGAATAAGCATCAGATCTGAGCCAAGACAGTCTCTTCCTGTGTCAAATGGATGAGTAAGCATTGCTTCCGCCCAGGGCATTGTCCAAAGTCTGCTGAAATTCCCTCTGGCATTTCACTGGCAGTTTCTCCTCGGGTCTCTTCACTCACTCATTCATTCCTTCACCACACAGCTTATTCCTGGAAGACTAAAACCACAGTTAAATTATAAACTGCGGTCAGTACTGGAAGAAAACACCTGAAGGACAAAGTAAAGGCAACACTGAGGCTGGCGTGGTGGTGCACATCATTCCAGTTACTCAAGAAACTGAGTCAGGAGGATTGAAAATTTGAGTCCAGCCTGGGTAATTTAGCAAGATCCTGTCTCAAGGGGGGAAAAAAAAAGGTTGGGGGTGTGGCTCCATGTTAGAGCACTTGCTTAGCGTGTGTGAGGCTGGCCCTGGGTTCCCTCCCTGGTTCTGAAAAGAGGGGAAAGGAAGGGCAACACTAGGGACCAGACTGATATTTTCACTGGAAACTTGAAGGTGAATCAGACATGCCAAGTAGCAGAAATGGCATGTGTAAAGGCCCTGAGGCAAGAATGATCTTGGCTGGCAGAGGAGCAGCTGCTTCCAGAGGCCAGGGCGGGAGGAATAATGTGGGAGAGGAGATGGGCTACAAGGATGGGGAATTCCAGTAGTGTGGCCGCCAGGGGCTCCTGGGCATCAGGTGGAGTGTGCATCTTGTCCTTTGAGGCAATGGAGGGCCATGGGAAGCTTCAGAGCATACTAGAGGCTTATAGTTCTATGGACACTTCTTTTTTGTGTGGTAAAACTTATCTAACA